TACCTCTGCAGTGAATTGCAGCCTCTCAAATGCAGATTGCTTTCCGGACATGAACATTTTCTGCTCCATGCTTAACTTTTGGCAGTGAGTGTATATAACAAAGGAAAAGTATGACGATCGGTCAAAAAAATGACTCTCCAAGAATTTTAAACATAGAACACGTTCAAACGTCGAAAAATGCAAAAAAATCGTGGATTTTGTCAGAATCTGAAGGTTAATGTGCGGGGATAAACGATTTTCTTCACTCTGATTGAAACTTAATAACTCCTGTTCTTTTTGTAGAAAATTTCTGAAATTTTGCAGGAAACTTTGATTATTAGGGAAATTGAAACTATTAAATTTCGCTGGTTAAAAATTAATAAAGTGACGAAATAATGGATGCCGTGTGTATCTCCAGTAGGATCGGACTTAATGATGATTTTATTCGTTATTTGCAGTAAACGTTTTTGTATAAAAATCATTTCTACTTTCAAAATTCAGTTCTTTGCCTTTCTATAATAGTTAAAAATATCATATTTTATTTAAAACACATTTTATTACAGACAGCCATCAGAATTTTAAAATGTTTCCAGGAAAGATGAGCAACTCGTTACTGGTTTATATATCATAAATGATTATTTGTGATTGTTATATATTCTTTGTATATTATTTAGCCTGTGAACAATGAATACTTCACTCCGGAAAGAAACTCTAACAGGAATGAAATAAACATCCAAAGTAAGTAACATGTTACTTAGTTCGAACTTTTTATATTGGTACTATTCAGTGGGCGACTGAAGAACTGCATTCAAGTTTTAACTGTCATACGTTTATATGGTATTAGATATTTGAGAATTGTAATTAACTACCTACTTCGTATTAATATAAATTTAAACTTAAAAGTATGTTAGAATTATCAGAATCAGTAAATCACAACTCATGAGTTGTTATTTAATGATTCATGTAATCTTGCTTTGTTCATGGATTTGCTAAAATAATAATGAAAATGATTTGAAACGAAGTAATCGAAGGCTGTATAACTTATTTAATGACATAATTAAGTACTGTATATATTAGCAACGTGTTAAAAAAAAACACGTTGCTAATATTCTTGAAAAACGTATTTTAATTCAGAAATATGAAAAATACACCGATTTTTTTTCTCAAATTAAAATCCATAGACTTTTTCTGTAACACCTTTTCTTATGCCTTGCATTTAAACGAACAACATAGGTATACTCTATCAATTATACAACTACAGCAGTAACATTTTAATATTGCAGTAATGTATGTTAAATAACACATAATCACATGCACAGAGAAATGTAAAGTACATTTTTTATGCTGAAAGTCCTGACTTTTCTGAATTTTTTTTTTTTTTGCAATAAAGTCGTGTAGTTTCATTTGTCGCTTTTTTCTTTAAGCAACTGTCGGTAGCCAAAGATCGCATCCAAAACGCCTCGTTTTGCTTTTGCATTACTTTCAAAATTTAGTTCATTCGTTACAATTTGATTAACGATATCGGTTATCGTTACCAAACTTTTACTAAGAAAATCTGTAGAGAAACTTTTTGGGTTCTTCGTTTTTAGAATCTCTATTTTCCGGTTCTATATGTATTCCTTCTTCTGCCAGTTCTTGAAGGTCGTCGATGGTAAGACTCTAAGCAGAAATCTGCTGTAACTCCTCAATATCCTGTTCGTCTATATCTCCTAGTCCTGCTATATCGATTAGGTTGAAGTTTGGTCAACCTAACGATACGCTCTTCTTGTTGAGAATTCTTGGATACCTTCAGCAATAACTTCTTCCACACTTCGTTCGTGCATTTATCAGTTAATTCTTGCCAAGCAAAGTCAATATTTCCTATGGCATCCATGATGTTATATTTTTCCAAAATTGTACTAAACAAACATAGATTTAAAGTACATTTTTTTGCCACCTTTTGCCGATTGGTTTGTGTTTGCAAGTAATCGTATTATATACGAATTAATGAAATGCCGCGATAATTTAAATCAGCGTAAATTCTGAGCTTTTTTAGGCATCGAGAAGACCGCGTTATATCAAATCAGCGTTATGCGGGGTCTTACTGTACGCCTGAATTTTCAGACGTAAAGTTTTCAACGTCGACAAATAGAATTTTGTAAGGTAATTTATATTTTTGTGCTAATGGAAAGTCAGAATGTCCAGAAATGGAAAAACACAGGAATATCGAACTTTGATTAACATAACTTCTTTGTGATATATTACATCTACGAGATTAAATTGTAAATTTGGGTCGTGTGTATCTTCAGTAGGGCCGGATATATGACAAGTTTACTTATTTTCTAATTTACANTTAGTCGTTCTTAATTGTTTTCGCCAGTTTTCAACAATATACACGAAATAGCCAAGTACGTCACTTTGTGGCGCAACATGTTTTACTTAGGGTGCATATACTTTTCGTTCTGTATGGGTCGATCTGTAAAATCGAATCAGTCCTTGTCACGTGATACAGATAGCTTCTGTCATGGCGGAAAGAATACAAATAGAATCGAAAATGGCGGCAAGTTAAGGAATCAAGATACGTTATCAGAATTCGATTCAGAATCTGAGGAAAAAGAATTAATTTTGGTTAATTATTTAGCACAATACAGAAGTAAAAAAAAAAATAAGTGCAAAATGAAAAATAAGGTATGCAAAATAATTAATTACGTTTCAGAGATTGCGTTAGAATATACGCCAAATGTTTTTTAAAAAACACTTTCGAGTAAGTCGACTTACGTTCGAAAATTTACTGAAGGATCCTGTTTTCATTTTATTACAATCAAAAGAAATAGTAATAAAAAAAGGAAGGCAAGGAAAAACTGCTCAGACGTTTGCTATGAAATACGGTATTACTGGTGTTATTGGCTGTATAGATAGGAAGCATATAGCAATCAATGCCCCTTTAGAGGAACCTCAAGTATATAAATAGAAATGGATTTCACTGCTTAGTTCTATAGGGAGTATGTGATGAGAAAATGTGCTTTATTGATTGTTACATTGGTGAAATTGGATCTGTTTACGACTGCACAATATTTAAAAGATCTGAAATGTATCACAGAGTTTGCAGTTGTGATGGCTTTTCACATGCAGATTTTCATATTATAGGAGATGGTGCATACCAACTTTCAAAGCATTTAATACCCCTTTATAGAGACAATGGTTTCTTTTTTTTTTTAAATCAAAATCTAAAATTATGTTTAACAATAAGTTTTCATCGTGTCGACAGACTATTCAGAGAGCATTTGTCCATCTATTTGTTCGGTTTAAAAGGCTGAAGTTTCTGGATATGTGTGTTTACTTGAAGTTAAAACGTCAAACGTGCACTTCTGCTTGCCGTACAAATTTAAAGTTTATACTTCGACTGCAACCTCTCTAATATAATGAAATGAGCAAAACAGTTTTACAACGAATTGCGAAATTCAATAGGTGTAAAAATCTTTTTTTACAGAACTACTCTCCTAGCTTTCAATGGGCTAAATAGCATACATCTGTACCAAAATCAGCCTACTTTATTAGTTATATCATTTTTAATGGACAAGATGAAAAGTGAAGTTTCCCTTGTTATTTTGTTAATTTCCCCAAAATATTAAATAATTTCTACAAAATTTTCAAAACAATTAGTTTTAATGCAATTTTCTAATCATTAGCTTATATACGAAATTACAAAAGACGGATTTGTAATTTAAAAGTGTGTAATGACTTTTATATTACTTTTCCGACTATTATACACTCACTGCCAAAAGTTAAGAACAGAGTGATAAACTGCGAAAAAATCAACAAATACAGCTGTGATTGACATGAAATGCGGCAGGACAGTAGCAAATATGTTTATGCATGAAACAACACAAAGAATTACATAGAAAAATGAAAACACATTGAATTTTCATAAAGTATAAGATGAAATCATATTGGAATCATTAACAAAAACGATGTTTAAATCCAAAACAAACAAAACTGACATTAATTAATAGAGTAAATGGTCACCCCTTATCCTTACACAAAGTTTACAGCGTGTAACCATGCTTTCCATGAGGTGATCAACCATCCAGAGTCAAATAAGTGCCATTCCTCTTGTAGAGCAGTTTGCAACTCTGTGAGAGAGGCAGGGTGTGGGAAACGTGCACACATAGCACGGCCGAGGGCATCTCAAAGATTCTCAATGGGATTGAGGTCTGGCGAATACGCCGGCCAATCCATACGCGCGATTCCTTCACTTTCGAGGTAGTCGTCGACGAGGGCAGCTCTATGGGGTCGTGCATTATCGTCCATTAAAACAAAAGCAAGATCAACTGCTGCAGCATACAATTTCACAATGGGTTCGAGGACTTCATTCCGATACCGGACAGCTGTCACAGAACCCCCTCAATAGACGTGCAAGTCGGTGCGATATCCCAACGAAATGCCTGCCCACACCATAATGCTTCCACCTCGGAATGCGTGATGCTCGATGATATTCTAGAGTCGATTGCGTGTGCCTTTTTCTCTCCATACTCTTACACATTTGTCATCTGCCTCCAGGGAAAATCGCAACTCATCTGTGAACATAATGTTGCCCCAATCAGACACAGTCCAATTCACATGTTGCCGACACCACTTTAATCGCGTGCCTCTGGATTGGACGGATAGTGGAACACAAACTCGTGGTACCTGGGCATACAGTCCGTTCATTTGTAGCCTTTGGCACACAATAGTAGCAGATATCATTTTACCAATGGCTACTACAACCATCAATGTCACATGTGTAGAGGTTGCTCTTTGATTCTGCTTGACAACAGAAATATAGCGATATTCTGCAGGAGTCGTAACTCTTGGCCACAGGTCTTCGGACATGTTTGGCTTGTTTGGAATTGTTTCCATAACCGTGAAATGATGGAATGATGAACGCCGAAGAAAAGAGCAACATCTCTGATTGATTGTCCTGCTTCAAGGTGTCCCACACACCACCATCGCTCACTGTCTGTCATTCGTCTTCTGGAAGTGATAGAAACACATCAGTCATGCACACTAATTGTACGACAGTTCTCCACACTTTTCTCGGCACTTACATGCAACTCCTCTCACACTTCAGAAGGCTGGCTTCTTATACGACTGCCTGTTTTGCATATTTTGCGACACATAAGCATGATTGATAGTAACGTAACATATTTTCATACTTCCACCTACCTCTGCAGTGAATTGCAGCCTCTCAAATGCAGATTGCTTTCCGGACATGAACATTTTCTGCTCCATGCTTAACTTTTGGCAGTGAGTGTGTATATAACAAA